AAATGACACAGAGTAGCAAAAACGGTATCATGTTTCTAAATTTCAAGGTGAACTAGCCTCTCCAGATCTAACATAATATTATATTGGCTTACAACTAGGTTGTATCCCCTTTTGGTGCTCTATGTGGCTGCAAACTAACTGGGCTGAAATAGAGATTCAATTGCTTGCCCCAATCAATACAAATACTAGGCCGTGGCATTCCACTGCCCACATACATCAGGAAAACCTTTTTTCATCTATGGTACACTCAAAAGAGATCTAAACCTTGGCTAAATGTAGATTTGACCTCTAACACCTTCCCATTAATCTCCTTTCTTCTGACCCTACAAATTCCATCTAGTCTTGGCATACACTTAATCTGGGGCTCAAGCTCACACTTTAAAAGATATTATTTATTATAAGACAAAAAATGTTGTTACCTTTTCTTGAGTTGGCATCAAAATTCCAGCCACCCACCAAAAAAAAAAAAAAAACTTTTTTCTCAGTTTTTTTGTTAGAACATTTAGCAAATAAATAATTGTTCTTCATAAATTAAGGCCAAAATGTATTCTGATACATTTCTTGTTTAAAAATAACCCAGTGTATATTATTTAGTATGTGCGAAAGTTATAGAGTCTACAAACTATGGTATAATACAGTATATTTGAAAATTGATCAGTCCTGATGTACTGACCGCCTGTCTCATTTCATGATTTCCTAAAATGCCAGGACAGTACAATCATCCACAAATGACCCCTTCTTGGAAAGTAAACAGTCCAGGGTATTTAGTAAGAGGCATGGCGAGTTTTCTGAAATTGTAATTTTTTTTGTCACTATTTTTTTGAAAATGTAAAAAATTATTTCTCCCACTCAGCATAGGAATACTTATAATTACACCCCAAAACACATTGTGCTACGTCTCTAAGTATGTGGATACCATGTGTGAGACTTTTTTTTACATCCTAGATGCATAGAGGGGTCCAAAATCTAAGGAGCACATTTGAGCTTTCAAGGAGCATCAATTACACACCTAATTTCCTGACTACCTATCACAATTTTGGAGGCCTTGGAGCACCAGGACAGTGGAAATGCCCCAAAAATTGTCCCATTTGGGAATGCAAACACTCCAAGGTATTTTGTGAAAGGCATAGTGAGTCATTTTTTGACAAACATTTGTGGAAAATGCAGGAAATATTATTTTTTTTTCTGCATAAAGTTGACAATTAATGAGATATTTCTAACACACAACATAGGCATACTTAGAACTACTCCCTAAAACACATTCTGATACTCCTCCCAAGTATGGCAATACCACACGTGTGAGTTTTTTTCACAGCCTAGTCACATAGAGGGGCCCAAAATTCAAGGGACACCTTCAGGCATACTAGAAGGATAAATTACACATCTAATTTCCTGACTACCTATCACATTTTTGGAGGCCCTGGAGCACCAGGATAGCAGAAACACCCACAAAAAACAAACAATCCAAGGTATTTTTTAGGAGGCATGGTGAATCTTTTAAAGACTACGTTTTTTGGCACAAGATTTTAGAAAATGCAGAAAGAAAATAAATGTTATTTTTTTTTACACAAATTTGTCAATTTATTAAGATATTTCTCACACACAGCATGAGCATACCTAAGATTACACCCCAAAACACATTCTGCTACTCCTTCTGAGCATGATACTACATGTGCGAGATCTTTTTACTATCTGGGCTGATTATCTACTTGCCATCCTCCGTATAGCAGTTTTATTGCTACACGGTGGCCCACCTACCTGCACTGCCATTGTCTCCTGTAGATGTAAATCACAGCCATTGGCAGAGAGAGAGAGATCTGTGAATGTAAGAAGAACAGATCTCTCTCCTGTCAGTTTGGATGTGCCCGCTGACAGGCACACCCACTAGTAAAACACCACACAGTACACAGTGAAAGCACTTGCTAACACACAGTTATCCCCTTGATCGCCCCAGATGTTAACCTCTTCTTTCCCAGTGCCATTAGTACAGTGACAGTGCTTTTTATTAGCACTGATCACTGTATTGGTGTCACTGAAGATGTCAGTGGCAGTTAGTCAGTTCCCACACAGTGTTAGTTAGTGTCAGAATGCCCGCTATAAGTTATTGATCACCACCATTACTAGTATAAAAATAAATAAATAGAAATTCCAGTATATATATATATATATATATATATATATATATATATCACACAAATCAACCAACTGTATAAAAACCAATAAACCAATGTACTGTAATGTTCACCTCTATATGAGTGGTCAGGGAATATAGCTTAGTGTAGCATCACCTGTAGCAGTCCCAGGGGATGGCTGAGACTGGAGATCAGTTCAGACCAAAGGCAGAGATCATGGCCAGCAAACAGACAAAGGATCAGTCCAAGCAACCAGCAGAAATGTGGTCAATAAACAGGCCAGGGTCTAAGAGTGAAAGGCAGCAGTGCACTGGCTTGCTGCACTGGTCTGGTGAAACTGGGGACTAGTGTGGAAGCAATCAGGGACACTGCGGCTGACTGATACTGGTCAGGTGACACTGGGACTGTTGTAGTGATAATCAGGGACACTGTTGCTGGCTTACACAGTGGTACTGACACTGAAACATGTGTGGTGGTGTCCAGTGACACTGTAATTGGTTGTGGCAGTGATTAGAAACAATATGAATGGTGCGGTTGTGATCAGGGACAAACTAACTGTTGTGGCGGTGATCAGGGACAATATGGCTGGTGTGTGCGGTGATCAGGGACAATATAACTGGTGTGGCAGTGATCAGGGACAATATAACTGGTGTGGCTGTGATCAGGAACAATATGGCTGGTGTGACGGTGATCAGGGGCTATATGACTGGTGTGGTGGTGATCAGGGATAACATGACTGGTGACTGGTATGGCAGTGAACAGGGACATTGAGTAGTGTGGCAGTGATTAGGGATGCTGTGAGTGGGTGATGGTGATTAGGGACAATGATTGGTGTAGCAGTGAGGTATGATGTCACCATAGTGTAAGGCATCTTTCACATGAGACGGACTCCACCTGCGATCTGCTTGCTCAGTGGGGGATCTGTTTGCTGATACCCACTGAGCAGGCAAATGAGAGGCCTGTATGTCAGACACAGCCTACTCTCCTCTATGGGCAGTCAGATGTCTTTGAGCTATTGAGAACACTGTGATCAACTGTGATTGGCTACGGCTGTCACATGGTACAGGGAGGTTGTGCCTGCCCTGTACCATGTGATCTCTGTGACCAATCACCAAGCTCACAGTTTTTTTGGAATGGCTGTATCAATGGCAGCCATGTTTACTGCTGGACATGTACGTCATCCAGCCTGTTCAAGGTTAGGGGCATGTAGATTGTGGCTCCCAGTACCTGACCACTTTGATTGACAGGGGGATCACGTAATCGCTATGTGATCACACATGATCACAATGTCAACAAAGCTGTTACGAATGCATTTTGTTCATAACAGCTGTGGCTCCTATAGTGAAGCTGTGATACCATATTTTGTAGACGCTATAACATTCACACAAACCAATTAATATATACTTATTTAGATTTTTTTTTACCAAAGACATGTAGCAGAATGCATTTTGGCCTAAATTTATAAAGACATTTGATTTTTAAAATTTTAAATGTTTTATAACAGAATGTATAAATTTTAGGGTTTCTTTTTCCAATTTTTTTTTGTTTATATAGAAAAAAATTAAAAACCCAATGGTGATTAAATATCACCAAAGGAAAGCTCTGTGTGGAAAAAATGATATACAGTTTATTTGTGTATAGTGTTGCAGGCAATTGTCTGTTACAGTAGCACAGTGCTGAATAGAAAACTATGGCCTGATCATGAAGGGGGTAAAACCTTGCAGAGGTCAAGTAGATAAAGTACTTTCCCAATGGTACTATACTCCAGAAATGCTGCCGTCCTCTGACCCTTAAAATCTTCCCACCTGCTGGAGATGTTTATCACATCCTGGTTGACTGTACAATGGTTTTTTTGGATGTGCCCAGGGTCTGACCTTTCTGAACTGTGGTTCAGGTTACATTTAATGTTATCACTACTTGCACTCTCATTTTAACTCCACAAACAAGTCTTCTAGGATTGCCTTTTTCCCAGATTAGATCTTTATACCCATATTAAGTGCATTCAGAACATAGACTTTATAATTCCCTCAAGACATTTTTAAAACCTGGAAAGCCTGAGATAATTGCTGAATTTTAAGTGGCTTTAAGTGACCTAAAAGGGTGGGAGCAAATAGCCAAGAGGGAGCAAGACCATACTTTTCTTTGCTTATCTTTTTATTTCGTTCAAGTCTTTCTTTTAATGTTACCTTTCTTTGTTGCTATTTAATTGACATCAGTACCCTTTGTTGTTAATTGTTTACATGCATTCTGCTTTCCTATTTTCTGAATATAGTATTCTGGATGTGGCCACCTCCTATAGCACAATTTAGGCAAGCCATAGATTAATCAATTTCCACATGTGATGGAAGGAAAGAAAATCTCTTGATTTCCCCATCAACACTGTCATGACTCCCACAGCACTATTGTCTTTTGCTAGTGGGGGAAGGGTAGGCATGGGGAGCCTTCCTAGCTGATAGAACACAATGATTACTACTAGCTATAGCAGATTGCAGTAATCGCATGCTAAAAATGCGACAAGCTTGCCTATAAATGGATCGAATCTCGGCCGGTCCCTTCTGAACCAGCCAGGATTCAATTCATCTATGGCCAGCTTTAGGCTCTTGTGTTTTATTCCTTTTTCTTCTAAGCAGAACTATGGTCAGATTCTATTATTCATGGGACACATAATACTATGCCTTCCCACAGAGTTATGTTTTCTCTTTGTACTTGAAAAAAATATTTTACTTTTACTCTGCATACCGTATATGAATTTTTCTTTTGTGCCTTATTTTGAAAATTTATAAATAAATATTTTATAGAAAAATAAGAAAATCTACTTTTGACTTGATGCTGAAGTATTTATGCAATATATATTATCTTTTATTTCAGCCACTAGATTTTGAGACAAAAAAAGCATACACATTTAAAGTGGAAGCCTCCAATATTCATGTGGATCATCATTTCAACTCAGTGGGACCATTTAAAGACACTGCAACTGTGAAAATAAATGTATTAGATGTTGATGAGCCTCCAGTTTTCAGCAAGACATTTTACACAATGGAAGTGTACGAGGACACTCCTGTCGGCACAATAATAGGAGCTGTGACAGCACAAGATCTAGACATAGGAACCAGCCCTGTCAGGTATGATATTCTATTCCTATACCCTGTCTGGATATTCTCCATCCTGGCACTAGCAAATACATCTGGTTTAGATAAAAATGCTACAAAGTGAACCATTTCCAATTAGATTTTATAAAGAATGTTTTTGCAAAGCTGAATTGCAGAGCTGTCTTTACTGTAGTGGCAGGGTTATGTGGCCAATGAGGACATTTGGTTTGGACAGAGGAAACAATGTTTTCAGGCAACACAATGAATCATAAAAGTTGACCCTACCAAAAAAAAAGCATTTCAGCTAATAAAGGCAGTAAATGGAGTTGATTTACTAAAGGCAAATAGACTGTCCACTTTGCCAGGAAAGCTGCATGAATGTTCCCTATATCTTAGTTGTAAATTGTCCCTCATTCAAAGAATACCCAATCACATGCAAGGAAAAAGAATGATTTGCTTGCACATGATTAGACAATGGAAGTCTGCAGGACATTCACTATTGTCATGAATTCTCAAAGTGTACCTACCCTTGTAAAGTGAACCGTCTATTTGCCTTTAGTAAATCAACCCTATTGCTATGTCTGCATTTACAATGGACGTTTACTAAAATAATGGTTTATTTTCAACTTCTGCCCTAGACCTGGTGGTGCCTGGCCTTTCCACATACATCAGCCTGAGTCTAATATTTTAAGTAACAAAATATTGTACTTTTTTTAGAAAATTGTAGTAATTCCTTACTCTCTAATTCCTGGTTGGTCCTTTTTAACCACCACCTGAACATACCTGTACATACTCACGTTGAAGTACAGCCATGATCCTGATATCAAAATTTGTTGCTGGTGATGGCCCTGTAGAAGTGATTTGACTGGCTCTACAGCTGCCTGATCACTTCTACAGAATGCTGCAGGGGCCCCCCATTGCGATCGGGGAGTCAGGAACCACTGCGACCTTTTAATCCATCTGAACACAGAGGAAAGGCCGGTAAATCTGTAGCTCCCCTCCTCCCTGACAAGTTAAATGGGAAGTGACAAGGAATTTGTCACTTCCAGTTTTGGTTTGTAGTTTACAAGCCATTACTGGCTTGTAAAGCATCTGATCAAACTAATCTCAGTTTGATCAGATGCTTTTAAGGGCAAGGAGAGATCTTAGGTGTAATAGACCCCATATTTTTCAGCAAAGAGTACCTGTCATCCTGTTGTTAATCCATTGTGGTAGCAATAAATATGAAACAAAAAAAATAAACACACAAAAAAAAATGTGCGCATAGTACCTGCACGCAAAGTAAACCGCATGGTCCTGCACGCAAAGTAAACATGTCACAGTGAGAACAATAACTCTTGTGCCAGACATTCTACTTAACTCTAAACTGGTAACCTGTTAAGACTTTTAAAGCATTGCCTATGAAAAATGTAATCTACCGTAGTTTGTAGACATTCCACAGGCATGCTCAATTTTAAAGCATGACATTTATTTATTCGGTGTATCATCATTTTTTATAATTTACCACAAAATTGGTAAATTAAAACAAGATTTTTTTGTGCTTGTGTGCACTAAAATTCATTAAACTGTATGTTTTCTGAAAATTTGGATTTGAAAAGTGGCTGCACAAATATCGTACATTATAAAAACAGTACAACAACCATTTATTGTATTGTCCATGGCTTCTGTTTTCAAAATATATGTTTGTTGGTCATGGAGAAGTGGGGAAGTTGTGGCTGTTAGGCAAAAAAAACATATTGTGACAGTTCCACTCTCATGTAAAATATTGCATTCTGATAACTGTATAGTGTTTACATATGACTGTATTTATTTATTTAGAATGTATTTATATTTACAACATGTATATGAAGACCAAATTGTGCAGCACTGGTGTTTTCTTACTTTTCTTAAAAGAGAGCAAGCAGAAGACAGAAAGGATTCTTATTTTGGTTGGTAACTAAGGTGTTAGCACATTTACCATGCACAGCAGAGGTGGGTCATACATTTAAATGTGTGAAGTTAGTCCTTTGTCCCAGAAACTGTCTAGACATCTTCCTGGTGTCCCAGTTTCCTCCCACAGCTCAGAACACATATTGTCAGGTTAATTCTCTCTCCAAATTGGTCTTATTGTGTTGATATAAACTTCTGTAGACATCAAGCAGCAAATGTGTTGTCATTTACTTTCAAAAATACTGCATGTGTTGTACTATAGAAATCAAAGGGAATCAACTCATTGATCATGCTCTATTATTTAGCTCACAAAATAAAATTTTGTATAATTTTGAATGTCAGGATCTCCAAAGGTTGCAAATAGCTGCTCTTCATCATTTCTTTCTTGTGGCAAAAAAGATTATTTTGCTTTAATGGAATTTACCCTTCCCCCCCTTCCCATTTCATTATTTATAAAAAAGTAAAGTGGTTCTGAAGGCAAAATATATTTTTTTTCAATAGCAGCTCCCCCCAGTCGCCAATTAAACACTTATATGAGTTCGTTCTTGATTCAGCCCTCTTCTTTCCTCTTCCTGGTCTCATTGGAGGCTTTGAGGGCAGCCTGAGCCATTGGAGCCAGTGAGGAGATCATGAGGGCAAGGCCAAGATGTGCTGTGTGTTTCTATGGACACATATGGCCTGGCTTGGGAGCACACCCACACAAGAGCCCCTATAGAAAGCAAATTGTTATGGGGGAAAGTGCAGAAGAGGAGGGGAGCACAGAGGAAGAAGGGAGGTTTGGGGCTACTCTGTGCAATACCATTGCACACTCAATGGTTTTAGACCAGATTATTAATCAAAATCCTCTAGTCTTATATTAGTCACAATCTTTAATTTGCTAAACAAGGCCTTCCCTTTTCCTACACATACTGCTAAAGTCAGCCATACATGCATTAAAATGTGTGCGGTTTAGCAAGGACCAGTCAAATTTTGTTCCATATAAGGCCACTCTGGCTGTACACAAATCAATTTATTGATTGACTTGTGCACAACCTAGAACGATCAGTGCTGCAAGCTATGACCGGCAACACTAATCACTGTGTTCTGGCAGTAGGGAAGGCTCCCCTCCGGCAGAACACAATAGCACGGAAGGAGGGATGTTGATGGGGGAAACAGTGTTCATTGGGGGAATCAAGAAAAATTCTTTCTTTGCATCAGTGGTGGAAGAAAACAAGACTGCATAATCTAAGGCCAGTCTAAGTACAGTTGTGGCCAAAATTATTCAACCCCCCACTGAAATTGAGTGTTTTGGCCAGTTTGACATTGCTTTTGATCATTCAGTCATCTTGCTTACATTTACATTAAAGAGGCACTTGTAGGTCAGACAAATATATAACATAACAGTTATAATGAAATAACCACAAATGTCTTTTCTGTGCTCACAGCATTATCAGTTTTATTCAACCCCCAAGTGACATTCAATCTTAGTACTTAGTACAGCATCCTTTTACAGTTATAACAGCTTTTAAACGTGAAGCATAGCTTGACACAAGTGTCTTGCAGCGATCTACGGGTATCTTCGCCCATTCTTCATGGGCAAAGGCCTCCAGTTCAGTCACATTCTTAGGCTTGCGCACTGCAACTGCTTTCTTTAAGTCCCACCAGAGGTTCTCAATCGGATTTAAGTCTGGTGACTGCGCGATGGCCACTCCAAAATGTTCCAGCCTTTCCTCTGCAACCATGCTCTAGTGGACTTGGAGGTATGCTTGGGATCATTGTCCTGTTGAAAGGTCCAACGTCTCTCCAAGCCTCAGGTGTGTGACGGACTGCATCACGTTTTCCATCCAATATCTCCTGGTACTGAAGAGAATTCATGGTACCTTGCACACGCTGAAGCTTCCCTGTACCTGCAGAAGCAAAACAGCCCCAAAGCATGATTGACCCTCCACCATGCTTCACAGTAGGCAAGGTGTTCTTTTTCATCATAGGCCTTGTTCTTCCTCCTCCAAACATAGCGTTGATCCATGGGCCCAAACAGTTCTAATTTTGTTTTCATCATCAGTCCACAGAACACTATCCCACAACTTTTGTGGTTTGTCCACATGGCTTTTGGCATACTGCAGTCGACTCTTCTTATTCTTTGGAGACAGCAAGGGGGTACGCCTGGGAGTTCTGGCACGGAGGCCTTCATTACGCAGTGTGCGTCTTATTGTCTGGGCTGAAACTTCTGTACCCACATCTGACAAATCTTTTCTCAGTTCCTCAGCAGTCACACGGGGACTTCTCTCCACTCTACGCTTCAGGTAGCGCACAGCAGTCGAAGTCAGCATCTTCTTTCTGCCACGACCAGGTAGCGTTTCAACAGTGCCCTTTGCCTTGAATTTGCGAATGATGCTTCCTAAGGTGTCTCTTGGTATGTTTAACATCTTTGCAATCTTCTTATAGCCATTGCCCTTCCTGTGAAGAGAAATCACCTCTTCTCTTGTCTTCCTGGACCATTCTCTTGCCTTCACCATGTTTGTAACCACACCAGTAAATGTCTAGAAGGAGCTGAGTATCACAGTCATTTTAAAGCTGCCTAATTGGTGCTTATTATGCTTGATTGCTGCTCGGTGACATCCACAGGTGTTTTCAATACCTGATGGAAAGCACCTGTATGAACCTCTGTTCTTCAGAGTGGTAGTCTTTAAGGGGTTGAATAATTGTGGCAATGAAGAAACCACATAAGAACCATTACTACTGTATTACATAAACAATTGATGTCATTTTAGTTGCATTTGGGTAGTTACAACGTCCTTGTAGGATTTGATTCTGAATACAATTCCAAATGTACACTATAGTCCCTAAACCCCTTTACAGCATTGGGGGTTGAATAATTTTGGCCACAACTGTATATGACCTACTGTCACCCACCTACTATTTAATACAGGACACTATGTAATTTAAACTGTACTGTTAAATGACTATTAATGTGTAATTTATTGGTCAGCTATGCAGCCATCCTTATAGTTTACGTTATTTTCAATTAAAAAAAAAACACGAGTATTTAGTTTATTACTTTCTTTGAGTATTTAGGCAAAGAAGTAAATTCCACATACTGGGAGACTGTGGCTTTAGCTCATGTA